CGACAGCCTTGCTTTGTTCTTCTCAACACCGGGCAACTTGCTTCTCTCTTCACGCGGCTTCACACGGTCAGTGCACGGAACTCCTTATTTCACCCAAAATAACCAAATCCTTGTGTCAGCTTAACCTTATATCATCAATCCTATTGGGACTAACTTACACACCCCCACATTACTACTTCCAACTAATAACATAAGTCCAACACAATTGTTATATTAATTCCAACATTATTATTATTATTATTATTATTAATCAACTAACTAATTAATTAATAATAATCTAACAACTTATACCAACAATTCTCAATATCTCACAACTTTTCAACAAATAATCCAAAAATAATTTAATTAAATAATTAATTAAATTAACGAGCATTACAGAGAGATTATGACGTGGGAATTGGAGAGTAAGATGCGAGAGTCTTACCCGGAGTTGTTTGCAACAGGTAATTTTCGAGGACGAAAATATTCTAAGTGGGGGAGAGTTAACGCCCCCAGTATTATATTTACTATTTAATTATGTTATTGTGATTTATTTGATGCAATAGATGGTTTGTTGATATGTATGGAGTAGAGTTGGGTTAATATAATAATGAGAATTATTTTTTAATTTAAATAATTTAGTTGGAATTATTTGGATTGAAGAATAATGGTTTATATATTATATTTAAGTGATATAATATGTGTAGTAATATAGAGGGAAAGATAGTAATTTTCATGAGGTTTAGTAGGGGTAATGAAGGAAGACCATAATAGGAGTCTAAGGGTTAAACTAGTAAAAGGAAGAATAGAAAGTTAAATTGTATCATTATGTACGATCGTATTTGGAAAGAAGAGAAAGCAAGGAGGTGAGAAGAATTACGGCAAGAGAAGAACCATTGTTGAAGCTTAGGAACTGTCAATCCAAGGTAAGGGTGGCGTTCCAACTTTCTAAGGGTTCTGTATAATGATGGGTATGTTAGAGATTGTAATTTCCATGGTTGTTGTATGTTCTTGTTATGAATTTTCCTTGGTGTGAATTGAACCCATGTGATGAAAATGGATGAAATATATGGTGTTGTTTTGCCATAATTTGATGTGTATAATTCCTATCATGATGTGTTGTTGTATTGCGAAAACATGTTGATTTGGTGAGTTTTGGGATTATACTGCGTTAGAATCGTATGAGAATTGGGATTGGTCTGGTGTAGAATTTGCAGCAGGAAGTTACTGTCAGGCACGCTTCGCTAGACAAGCCTCTTGCGTCGTCGGGAGAGAGCATTCGCCCAAGCCTTGTTGGACGAAGGAAAGGGTAGCAAAGATGTGCTCCTGGAATTTGTATGGAGAGGTGGCTTCGCTCGTGCTTCACTGGGCGAGCCTCAGGCGACATACCTGTTGACGCCTCGAAAAATTACTTTATTTGATTCAATGAAGTCCTGGTCTAACTTTATTTATTCCTAAAGAGGAAAGGGAAAATATAGATGAAACCCAATAAATGAGATGGAATGGTCGTCGAGACAAAAGAAATGGATTCAGGAGTCGGTTATACAAGGGAAAGATATTAGCACCCCTTACATCCATCATACTCGATGGGAACCATTTAGTTCTAGGTGTGTTCGTGTGTTTAAGAAGTAAATTTGCGATCTTATACTTATTATGCGAGGAAAGAGAAAAGAAAGAAGAAGAAAATTTAGTTTTTCGAAAGTGGGATAGCCAAGATGTCAAAATCTTGTGCTTACGTATTCCCCGGGTGCGATAGGAAAGTCAGAGCTTATGTAGTTCTTGGTTACATAAATGTTTGTTAATTGGTTGATTTTATTTGTGAAAATAGGAGCTTAATCGTACTTGGACGATAAGACGTCACTAGTGCAGTTCGCATGTGAGCGATGAAAGTCGCATGTGAGCAAAGGAAGTCGCATATGAGCGATGGAAGTCGCGTGTGAGCGATGGAAGTCGCATGTGAGCGATGTAAGTCGCATGTGAGCGATAGTTTGAAAAAAGGAACTCGCGCATGGATGATGTTTGATGAGTTAAGTTGTTTTTATTAGGACACGAGCACTATAGAATATCCAAGTATGTTCTTGGCCACCCGCACACTTAGGAAAAGAGTAAGTAGGTACCTAACTAATCCATCTAGACCTTTTTATGAAAAGAGTGTGATCTTTATTAAGATATTTTAGTCGGATTATGATTAATCAATACAAGCCATATGACTTGTACGATCAACCTCGAGAGTGTAGGCACGTGCCTATCTACTACCATGAGACCCTTATTTGTTTGAGAAAATGCACTCGATGTTGGATCGAGATTTAAAATCATTTGATTATGAAAGGTCGTGAAAGAAGAGAATCACTTGGTGTTGGACCAAAATTTATTGTGGAAAAAAATTGAATGATTAAGTGTGGTGAAAAAGTGTGAATGATACATGCAAGCATGAAATAAAGCAAGTAAATGAATTATTAGAAGTCCATACAAGATGGCTCACACAAATGATAAGACAATTAAAATTGTGTAATTGCATGCACAAAATAAATTTAATAGATTAATTAAACCAATGTTGAATTAAGTAATTAGATTAAGATTAATTAGATAAACTAATCAATTTCACATAGCCTAATTAGATGATTCAAATGAAGTTTAATTAATCAACTAAAGTTCCATTTGTAAGCCCAAAGGGGAAGCATGGTGTGTGCACCATGTGTGGCCATTGCGACGCTTAAAAACTTTGTCGACTAAGATATAAAAATGACTCAAAATCGAGTATTAGTTCTTTTTGAAAATGGTTTGTGCACATGTGATGAATAATTGAATAAAGCAATAAAGTATCTACTAACTATTACATCTCACGGGGAGTGAAATAAATATTTACAAATGGAGATTGAAATGAAAAAGAAAATGGGTTAAAAACTGAAACTGGTAGTGTGGGAATAGAATGGCGTCTGGGCTTAATGAGTTGCAAGCCCGGAGATTTTATTATCTAAAGAAAAATAGTGAGCAAGAAAACTAGGAGTTGGGTTTTAAAGAAACCGGTTCAGCCCTTGTGGCCCAAACCAAAAATTGCAAGTGAGAGGGACCTAAAAACCTAATAGTCGTTCGTTCTCCCTATCTTTTTCTCAAAAAAAAAAATCTAACGCTACTTCCTTTGTTCTTTCAATCTATTTTCTTACTGTCTCACGACCATGGAAGAAAAAGCAATAAACGAAATAACCTCAACCCCAGTAAACCTTATCCCCAATCAAAACCTTGGCACAATAAAATAAGTGTCACTGTTGATGGCTCGGAGGTACGAGTTGCTGAAGCTTGGTAGAGGCTGAACCGTATGGTTGGATGTTGAGTGTATACGTGAGGGTGTTGAGGTGAGTTTGAGGTTGGCTGTGATGATGAGTGAAGTTTGGTGTTGAGAGATGATGCGTTAGTAGTAGAGATTATGATATATGAGAATGGAAGAGAGGTTTGAGGATACAGGGCTAGATAATTGAGTGGGAGTTTTCTGTATGGTTTTCGGTTTTCACTCCTTTTCCCATGAGCTGGTAACTGAGTCCTTATATAGGACTTGGGAAGTGAGGGTAGAATGATAATTTAAGGATTTGTGGATAAGAACAAAGAGAACAAAACTTAGTCAAGAAGTTTGTTAGGAGTGGAGGAGTGGAGAGGTAGTGGAATGGAAGGAATTCGAGGGGAGAGGGAGAGTGGTGTGAGCTGGAATTCTTGTACTGATTTTGAATTTTGAATTTTTGCAGGTTGGGTGGTGGAATCGTGAAAGAAGAACAAAGCCACTCTCTTTTGTTTGATTTGCACAAGATATGTAAAAGCAAAATAATGTATTTTTTCTTATGTATTAACCCAAAAAAATACTAATCTTAATGAATAATCAAATTTAACATTTAATTACGAATAGAAATCATATTTCATATTAATAATTAACTCATACTCAAAAACCGAACGACGCGGATAAAAAATGTGAGACCTAAAAGACCAAAAATGCAAATGAAACGATCTCAAGGATCAAAATGCAAATGAAACGATCTCAAGGACCAAAATTCAAATGAAAAAAGTCGGGCGAAATTTAGAGTGTGACAAGACCTAGTCGTTGGGCGAGCCTCAGGCGAAGTAGGCTGAGCTGAATTATTTTTTAAACTTCGTAAATCTATAACTTTTGACTCGGGTGTCTGTTTGGCGCCCCGTTGAAACTTATGTGAATATGTGAGATGTGGAATGCATGGATATGCATGACTTACTTGATGTATACTTATTATTATGTATTCTCTTATATTGTTGTGATATCTCACTCTTCTGTTGGAATGATGCTTTATACGGCATCGTATAGATAGTCAGAAGTAGTTTGAGGCTGCAAGGACCGGAAGAGGTTGATTTGATACGTAACACCGGGGGGATGAATTTTAGTGTTTAGTAGTTGTTTGTAGTCTTAAGAATTCTTTATGAATTTTAATACATGTTGATTTATTTTGCAAAGATAGTTGGACTTCGAGTATGATTCTTTTCCGCTGCATTAATAAAAGTTGAAGTTGAAACTATATTACTTTGTTTTGGTTCATCCGAAAATTTGTGTCATATATCTTATCCTTGATATGAGCCGGTTTTTGTATGTTTGTGAAAGTGTAGCATCCTAAAAGTATTGTTAATTTGATTTAAAGTTACTCTGATAATTATTTATTATTCATCGGGTAGTTTGAGTGTTACACTCACGGACTTTGAGCACATCCTGCATAGTCCTCTGAAGAGAGTCACGGAGTTCCCGCTTCAAACCGAGCTTTCGAGGCCTCTGCAAGGGCCTCGATCTCCTGAAGAAAGGCATTGCAGTGTTCCTCCACTTAGTGAGTCTTCTTCTTAATAGAATCAGAAGCAACCTTATACCATTTATTTTCATTCTTGAGGGAATCCTCTAGCTTAGTCACGAGAGCAACCATAGTAGAAAGATAACCATGTATTTTTGCCACCTCTTGTAAAGAGTTTGCAGCTTTAACTTCCTTCCACAGTGCAACAAGATCCTTTTGAAGAGCAATTCATCTCAGCTCCATAGCTTTGGCCTTCCCTTTCCTAGTATCCATTTTCTTGAAGGGATTATTTGGGTCCAAGACATTTCCCCAACCAGCAGAGACAGGAGAGAAGATAGTAGAAGCTTTGAACATGCTATGGGAAAGCTTAGAAGTAAGTTCCATCTTATTCCCCTCAGGGAGATTCTGAATGAAAGATATGTCCAATGTATAAACAATAATAGCAGCCTCCTCAATAGTCTAATTAAGCTGGGAAGAGGATACATTCGGCACCCACTTAAAGGGAATTACCTCCTCGGAAGCATCGCCCACACCAACGCGAGTCCGTTTTGGAGAACCCCTGTATCAGGGGGATTGTTGTTCCTCAACTCGAGTCCTATTTGTTGAAATTGGAGGCGAAGTTGATTCTTCCACTGATAAAGTGGTCGCAATGTCCACATGTTGATCCACCTCGGGTGCAGAAGCAGGAGCTTCTATAGCCAGGGTAGGAGAATGGTCCAGAACATGAAAAGTAGTCGCCAGAGGAGTGGGGACAGAGGCAGAAGTCCCAATATTCACCATGATTTGAATAATTTGAGCATTTGCAAGGATGTGGAACAACTTCAACTTGCTTACTTTACTATGTTATCTATGAAATGCAATCACACGTGAAAAAAAGCACAGAGACTTCACCCTCACCATAAAAGTTTCTCCTCTCCTTCTAGTTAACTGCACTCAAGATAGTTGAGAATTTATATGCATGTTCCTCACATCGGAAGTGGACACCTCACTAGGGCCGAACCCTTCCTCATATCCAAGCCCTTGAAACCAATATTGCATTTTTTTTTCCTTCATAATCACCAAGTTCGGAGAAAGAGAACTCGTCTTGGTACAATAAGAGCGAGCATCCCAATTAAAATGGATCTTGGACCAATAATTTAGATACAAAATCCAACATAAGTGAAGAGAATTGACATGGAGATAGCAAAAATGAGATAGGTTGTGAATGTGAGGATTTTGCCATTTAAAAAGGCCCTGGGAAGTAACCTTAATCCATAATAAAGGGGTCAAACCAAAGGTTGACCTGATGGAAATAAATAAGCCCTTGATTACGAAATTTATTCGGGGAAGCACCCCTTGGGTGGAAAAGATTAAAAAAAAAGCTAAGATATGGCTTCCAGGATTTATGCTCAACACACATTTGGAACACTCTTATGTATGCCCATGACCCTGGATGAAGTTGGGAAGGAGAAAATTTTAAATATTTTAGGACGACTACCTCAACTTCAGTAAAAGGAAGTCGAAGTCCTATTCTTGAAAACAAACACTCATAAAATGAGATCATGCAGTCATCAAAAGAACTACATATAATTTTTCCCTGATACTAGAAGGGCTAACCACTCCAAAGGATCGTCGACCATAATTTAAATCACATCTATGGCAACCTCAATACTCAGATCCGAGGAAGTGCCTTCTACTTTTGTATCTACTCATTCATACTCTGATGTAACTGGCTAGTTTTGAAGGTTTAAGTAGGCCAACACATTAGCGTCGTTAGGCTCACAACCATCCGTTTTCAGATGAAGATGAATGTAATCTTTAGCAGGTTCTCTCCTTTACAAATTTTCTTGTGCCTCCTCTTCTGACAAGACGTGAGGAGGCATAGAGACTTCGTCACGATTTCTTCCTCCACCATCATTTGATATAAGGGAATATAAGGAACAAGAAGAAGTTTCTCCCTCAAAGGAATTCCCAGATACCCTTTATGATCCTGAATCGTTAGATATGAGATGTGATTTATAATGCTAAGTGAAATCTACTATGATAAAGGACATGAGATTCGGGAGAGGTAACCATTATAGAAGCAAATGAAGTTTCAACTTCAGAATTGCTCACTAGATCAACCATAATATTACTTATCCTGACTAAAAATAGGAAATGTTGAAGATAAAGCTTGAGTTAAAAGGGTGTGGGAGATTGATGAAGCATGAGGAATGGAAGAAAATTAAAAGCTTTAAGGAAAGCACTAAAATCACTTATAATCATATTATCAGGGAAGAGGAAACAAAGACTTTTCTAGAAAGTAAATATAAGTTGAATGCTAAAGGTTGTGAAAATTTCCAAATACTCAATTCACCCTATTTACAAGCAACAACAACTGAAAGGATCAGACCAACTACAGAAATAAATCACAAGATCAACAACTAGATTTCCAGTTATATATACACGCCAATTCGAGTACACTCATGTACTCTGTAAACTGCGTCATACCCTAGTTGGTCATGCCACTGCACGTGTCAGATAAGGGTGACGAAGCGTTTCAATGATAGGATCACATATAATGCTTCTATTCCCCACTATTTTCTTCAACTAATTTCAAGCGTTTCAGTTCTATTTCACATCGAACCATGTCCCAGAGGCCGTCCAACATTACTTAAGGCTTCCATGGCTCCTTCAGTGTCCGGCCAAGCTTTGGGGGCAACTGTTTTAGACCGACCAAAGGCTCAAATGAATAAGGCCCGATTCACTCTACTTGACCCAAAGTATAAAATCAGTTCACACGCTAAGAGCAATGTACAATCTATAATCTTCATTTTTCACTACACTCATCCTGAATCTTGATCTGACTTTGGCGTTAGAGTACTAACCATTCAGTTCCACCTTGTACCATTGTAAAGGAGATTAGATTCACCGTTTAAGACCATCAGTTCTCCAACTTTATTTATTCTTGGTTCCCTAATGGAACAATTAGTAAATAAAACGTTGATTTTGGGAGGGAGAGAAAAAAGAGAGAAATAGAAAATAAAAAAAGAGATAATAGAGAAAAGTAAAGGATAATGGGAAAAAATAGGAAAATAAAAGAGAAACACGTATTTTTCAAGAAAAAGAAAGAAAAACTCTAGCCACCTCTTCTTCTCCAAAGAAAATCTTCTTCTCCAAAAATCTAAGAGAAAATATCCAATTCACTAAAAAGGTTGTGGTAGAGATTGTGTAAGGGAGAGTTTCACCATTATTGAGAGTTATATAGAGGAATTTCTGCAATAACAAGAGAAGAGGAAGATTACTCTATAACATTGGTATTTTAGCATTTAGGGTAGTGGGGTTTCCCTTGAACACCAAATCCATCCTAATTCCTATAGGAATTGTGCTACGAGATCATTATTCATAACCCCTAGGTTATGAAGCTCTATCAAATCATCAATAGTTAGGTTATTTGGATAATCTTACGTGTTTTTCCTAAATTAGTTGTATGAATGGTAATATCATATTTTGATTTGATGAATATGTGTTATGATGAATGAGTTGTGTTTAATTGATGTTTATATGATGTCGTAGTGTATTATGTTATGTAAATTTTGCTAGAAATTTTTAATTGATATTGAGGATGGTGTAGAAGACCAATCCATTAGTTTTCTTTGTGTTTATGCATGTTGAACAGTTAAGTCCGCTAATACGCCAGGTTGTATTAAGGCTCCGGTATAGTGACATCGGGGTCCGGATTCACTTTTAAATTCTATGTTTAATTCAATATTTGAACAAATATTCATATATGAGATGTGTGATATTATTTTGAGTTAATGTGTTGTCCTGTTTATATATTACATAAATATTCCTCAAATTATGCTTTATATGTTTATTATATTAAATAAATATTCCTCAAATTATGCTTTATAAAAAATATTTTGGGTTTTAGGGTGTCACATAAGGGACATAATTGCTATTGACAACTGTGTCATGTAAGGAAGAAGAGTGATCAGGACCGGATGTATTTGGCATATAGTTAGGAATTGAATCATCGGGTAGAAGGTGATCTGATTATGTGACTCTTTAGGTGATGAGATTGACACGTGTTGTGATGGTTACAAAGGAAAGAAATTCTCATCGAAGACAATTTTTTAGAGACCATAACATCGTGGTAATTAAGGTCATACATAATGTATCCCTTTGTACCTTCCTTAAATCCAAGGAAATTGATTTTTCTAGCTCTAGTATCAAACTTGGTTCAATGAGTTTGTCGAGTGGTTGCATACCTCAAACACCTTGAGATACATAAAGAACGGTGTATTTTTATCTAATAATTCATATGATCAAATCTAGTATTTGCACTATTAAGCACTTATAAACATAACTCAATTGTTCTACGGTGGACTCCACTTGTTGTGAAAGTTCTAACAATTTTAGTGAATTTGTTGATGGCTTCAATCACATCAATTTTTTTAATATATAGGACAAAGAACAATGACAACCAAAATAAATAGGTTCAAGCAACAAAATAACCTACCAAACAATATAAGCAAATAAACACCAAACAAGAGGGAGATAAAAGGCAAGAAGATTGAGAATTGTTTTTATCCAATTCGATCAAACCGGTCTACTTTCTGGAAAAAAACATCTCTCTAGTTAACTATACTTCCAAGAATTGTTATGAGAGGTTACAAAAAATTCAACAAAATAATCACCAAAGTTTCCAATAACAACTTCTATTTCTACCCAAGTATTTCTCAATCTCTCAAACTCTCTCTAATAATGAATCACACAAGCCTAAGATGTTTATAAATATTTTTCCAATCCCCTTAGAAAGTTCTAAAAGTTTCATAAATTTCAAGAACACAACCATGTGAGTTTATACTCTTGTTTCTATATGTTTTTCCCTAGACTTGTCACCTCATCCATCTATTTTTCAGACTACATTCTAAATGTTGTTTTAGAAAGAATGATAGAGATACATATTTATAACTGTTGAAATCCAACAAATCCATAACATGCTAAAAACCCAACCCATCAACAAACGAAGCCACAAACAAAAATGATCAAATACGATACCCGCGAACTGCCTAAGCCAGACCTAATGCTAAGGGACCACCCGCCGCCACCCTTACCCAATCTACCATCCACCTGACCCCACCATTGCGGTTCTGATGTCCTACGTCGACTTTTTTGCTAGTTTTTGGCTTTATGACACTTTGTTTTATGACAGTCTCGAAATACAATTTTCTTCCATTCTAGCAAAATATCCTTGTAGAATGAGAAATCCTCTAGACTATGAGAAAAACTAAGACTTAAAAGGAGAGAACTCAATATCTAAGTATTTATAATTTTAAATGTCATTATCCATGTGCTATGTGCTTTAAAGTGTTTAATTTTTGACCGATGTGCCTGTTAAGAAAATATGTGCATCTTCAACCGATGTGCCTGTTAAGAAAATATGTCTCACATACATGTACAGATGCTCCAAAACTCCTCTGAAGTACCAATATTTACTGGCTTTGTTTTTTCTAGAACATCACTGTATATAAGCTTACAAAGCTGTTGGACAACAATAACTAAGGAAACACATTTCGGCGAAAGGCGTGGTTGTAGTCATGATAACGGAAGTTTTTGTATATGAAGTGAGCTAACAACCGTGACAATGCGAATAAAAGTACTGCCAGCACAATCATTGAATTTCTTGTTACAGCTGAAACTACGCCCTGCTTCATTGTAGCAACAATCCCAATTGAAGCAACAGATATGATCTGCAGCATCACTTCCACCACGTTGAGACTCTTATAGGCCAAATTGCAACTCTTGCAATTCACCACATGGCTCCAGTACCTGTTCATAAGCTCTTCTCTAGGAGGTGTAGGAGGAAGAGCACCGCTATATTTTCCTCTCCAATCAACTTCACCACCTGCATACTTCTTTAACCACTTTCTAAAACCAGTCACAAATGCATCTGCCTTTGTTGGCATAAAACAGATCTTATGCCAATTAGCTTTACCAACATCCATTATTTTCTTTTCCTGTTAATAATTTAGTAACATTATTTGAAGAATCAAACTACTAAATTGTTTTCTAGTGGTATGTTACTTTCATTTAGCTGAAACTTAAAAAAAAGAATTACCTCAACATGCAGAAGATATAAATCTGAATCTAGAATCAAGTTCTGTCTAACATGAAACATCCATCGCGGTACAATTTTGTCAATCCACAGTCCAAAGTTTCTTGGGAAGCACCAAATCAGTCTGCTATTACCGGGACTAACAGGAATACAAATAAAGATAAAAGAAATTTTCCTCTGAACCGATGATTTCTGCATAGAAATATATTATGTAACACCTATATTATACTAAATGCACATTTTTCCGTGATATAAGGATCATAATAGTTACTCAGTTTGTTACCTTAGATTCATCAGAAGATGCAGGTTTATTTGGATCACTATACAGATAAAAGATGCTTGGTGGCATAAATTTAGTTTTGCTCCCACCCTGATTTCCAGAGAAACCATTGATATCTAGCTTTTCAATTGACAATTCAAGTGGTCTTCCTCCTTCTCTATCAGCTTTCACTGTTTAGTTAATTAAGGCCTAAGTATATGATTGTCATATATAAAACAAATAAGAACTTGCTGAAGTTAAAAGATTTATATATTACCTTTTGGTTGTGTAATTTTCATTAATCCATGATGTGCATATGGAATATGTGAAGGGTCCATGATGTTTTCAATCAATAGTTCATATCTGAAGTTGCGTATTCAATTAGTTAGAAAAATATACTAAGCCAATAATATGATTTTTTTCATCTTCCAAAATCAGATCAAATAATGCTAAGAAATATCAAACTTTTATTAGTTGTAAAGTCTTACCCATAAGCAATATCTCGGTTTCCCATTAAGCTAGTGAAGGATGGATCATCGATTTCTGGTATGAATGGTGGTTTTTTCCTTGTAATAATATCTTTGTATTGAGGATCAGTGTTTGGCCAAAACCACAAGATATCGTTCTGCACAATGCTTGGGTAAGCAGCTACACATGCTTTTTTAGATGTATTAATCTGCAATTTTGTTTATGCAAAAGTAAATGAGGATGACAAGATAACAAAAACAAACAATGGACGAATAAATTTCCTGCAACACATTTATATTCCATAGTTCTGGTTGATTGTGAAACTCTAAACCACTTTTGATCAATGTAGTTGATAGTAGTCAAGTTTGTTCAACTTACTTTTTCAGATATCCATCCAAACATAAACCATTTTAGTTCGACTTACTGTTGGACTTTCCGCCTTAATTGCGGTCCGCCCCTAGTCACCTTAACTGCGGCTCTTTGGCTTGCCTTCATTGCAGCCCCTAACACCTCCATTGTGTTAGTTTTGAAAGGGTGGATTTAGTCTCACATTGCTTAGAGATATAGCATGTGTTGTGTTTATAAGTGGGGCAATCCTCACCTTACAAACCAGTTTTGTATGATTGAGTTAGGCCCAACCACAATTTTGAGACTTACTTTTTCAGATATGTATCCAAACATAAACCACTTTACATTCAACTCACTTGATTATTTGCACATAATCAAGCACACTCGTGGAAGTAATCATAATTGATTTTGAAAATGTAAAATTGATTTTGACATGTTTAGTTGCTCATAGTAGAAGTAATTATTCGTTCAGAATTGATTCTAACTTGGAATTATGATTTATAGTTTTATGAGTCTACTAAATATGCATCCAGACATAAACTACTTTAGAGAACTGAATTTGAAGTAAAATCAATTTTATAGGAACCAAACATGCACTACTAATCACAATCATGATGAAGATAGAGTAATAGTTACCGGAGGACCATCAGAAGGTGCCTGAGGAATGAACTTACAATCACCAGATCCATTAAAACACCAACCATGATACACACACTGCAACCTACCCCATTGATCAATCCTTCCTTCAGACAAAGGTGCCAATCTATGAGGACACGCATCATCAAACACTTGCCATGCACCTTCATTCCTATCCCACCATATAACCACATCAATCCCCATAACCTTCTTCCCATGAGGTGCCCTTTTGTCAAGTTCACAAATTGGCATCAAAGGGTACCACTGTGAGTACCAATCAAATTTCTCCGAACCTGTTTCACCTTCTGCCTCATCATCCACTTGAATATTACTACTTTCATCTGTTAATGGAGAAGGTGGTGATAAGGCAGTGAAAAGCTTGAATTTTGAAGCGTTGCTTTTAAACAAGGGAAGTGTTGGATGAAATTGTGAGTTGAGGAAGATGGATTTTTTGAATGGGGCTGTTGGGGTTCCTACAGGTGTTGGGATGTGAAGTGAAGTGACAGGGAAAGATAACATAGCTTCCCTTGTTGTGTTGTGAAAAGATTAAGGAAGAAAGTGGTAACACATGAATGTTGACTGATTTGGTTTAAGATATGATGAAACTAGAGGCTCACGTTTGATGCGTTCATTTTTAGGGTTTTTCGCGGTGTGGTTTGGGCGGTTTTGAAACAAAAAATCACCCGAACTGTAAGAGAAAAAAACACGCGGTTCGATTTGGTTCGGTTGACTTTTAAAAATAAATCCGAACTAAACCAAACCAAACTAATGTGGTTTGGATTGGTTCGGTTGGTTTGGTTTTTTACAAAAAAAATTATTAAGTCATACAAACAAATATAGAGGAAAATATAATTTTGTGTTTAATTGTTCGTACATTACCCTAAAAAAATTTATAATTGTCAAAATAAGTTTATAATTTGATACATAAAATTGCGTATTATAATTTTATCTAAATCTAAAGAATGATATAAACAAGATTGCATTCTTAAATAAATATTATACAAAGAATACGATAAAATATAGTTTGTGGAAATAGTATTTATAAATGAATAATATTTTATTTTTTTATGATTTGTAAATTAAAATGAATATAATACAAGGTATGATAAAATATACACATAATACATGTTTATTTCTTTAAAGAATTAAAGAAATATATATTGGTTAGTAAGATTTTATAACATAATGCGGTTTTGTTTGGTTTAGTTCAGTTTGTAAAATACAAACCGCAAACCGAACTGAACCTTGCGGTTCCGCGAGAAAATGACTCAAACACATCCGAATCAAATACGATTTTTTGCAGTTTTGATTAGGTTCGGTTCGGTTTTACGGTTTTCTATTGGACCGGTTTGATTTTGAACACCCTATTCATTTTTGCTATGAAATGAAACATGAGGCTCAGTTTTATCAACAATAATGTGAAGGAAAAGTATGTGTGTTGATAATTTAACATGTTCATTATTAATTTTGCATTTTGTGATCAATTATTAAATTAATATACTTACTTTATGCTTTAAATTAGTTTTTTTCTCAGTGTAAATTTGGTATTTTTTTTATGCACAATTTTAAAGAATAAGTTGAATTATAGATTTGATCCCTTTCATTTATAAAATTATCCTTCTATTTTAAATTTAAATAATTTTAATCTCCCACTAATAATTTTATATTTAAAATTAATGATATTTTCATTTTTTAAATGATAAATTTTTTATGAAACATGAAAAATCATCGTATATAAATTTATTGTGAAATTTTATATGTAAAAATATAAATTAAAAAATTAAATATCTCATCGATTTTCTATGAAAAAAATAAGAGAAAGACCAAAAACCGATTTCGAAAATTAGATAAAAGAAAGAGACCAAAACTGAAATCTACTATATAAGAAAATTTAATGTTATGTCAAATACCAAATTATCCTTTTGGTCCTCTATTGCACCACATGGATGACTTCTCCATCCAGCTTCACTATACTTCTCACTTTTCCATTTCTTTCTAACATTTTCAATTTTTTCTAATGTTTCCAATGCATAACCAAAAAAATATAATAAAATATAATATTTTATTATATTTTATATAATAAAATATTACATGTAATGCATTCTGACCGCTATGTATTTCTCTTTGTTAACTTTGGAATGCCAAGGGAGAAAAAAGTAAATGGAATAAACTCATAGTATTATTCTTATTTTGGAATATACAAAACAATACTATATATATACTGTTTAAGTAACAAACTAAACTAACTGTTTAATAACAAACTAAACAGAATTATAACAAACTAAACTGTAAAGTAACAAACTAAACAGAATTATTTTCATCATGTAATAGCCCCCCACAAGCTGGACTATGGATGTCCAATAGACCAAGCTTGGAAACAAGATAATCAAAAGAGGGAGCTGCCAAAGGCTTGGTGAGAACATCTGCCAATTGAGCAGCAGAAGAAACTGGTAAAAGGTGGATGAGATCAGTTTGGATTTTCTCACGAATGACGTGGCAGTCAATTTCGATATGTTTTGTCCGTTCATGGAAGGTGGGGTTGTGAGCAAGGTAGATAGCACTTTTGTTGTCACAATAGACTGAGCTAGGTTGATCAAAGGAGATGTGGAGGTCCTTGAACAAATACTGCAGCCATTGCAATTCACAAGTCAAGCTTGCCAAGGCCCTGTATTCTGCTTCTGAACTTGATTTGGATACTGTAGACTGCTTTTTGGATTTCCAGGATATGAGGGAATTGCCAAGGAACACACAATATCCAGTTAGGATCTGCGAAGCCAAAGAGTTTGAGTGGAGAGGAAGATGAATAGAACAAACCCTTGACAGGAGCACCTTTGAGATACTTGAGTACTCGAATTGTTGCAGAATGATGAACTTGCATAGGATGTGAGATGAATTGGCTGAGTTGTTGAACGATGAATGCAAGGTCAGGTCTGGTGGTAGTCAGATATAGAAGTTTTCCAACAAGCCTTCGATAAGCTGTGACATCTTCGAAAGGTGGTGAGTTATCATCATGAAGCTTCAAGGAGGAATCGAAGGGAGTAGAGCAAGGTTTAGTAGCCAATAAGCCACTGTCTTCGAGCAATTCCAAAGCGTACTTTCTCTGATTGAGAAAAATGTCGTGAGTTGATCTGGCAACTTCTAGACCAAGAAAATATTTTAGCCTACCAAGGTCCTTGATTTTGAAAGTGGAATCAAGGAAGCATTTGACATATTGGATTTCCTGCAAATCATTACCGGCTAAGACAATATCATCAACATAGACTAATAAGGCAGTAAAAGAAGAGTCATGTGATTTTGTGAAAAAAGAATGATCAGCAGAAGAATATGAGTAGCCAAGAGAGATAAGGGCAGTGGACAATTTTGAAAACCACTGTCTGCTAGCCTGCTTCAGGCCATATAATGACTTATGCAATTTGCAAACTTTGTTGGTCGAAGAAGTGCAAACTTCGTTGGTCGAAGAAGTGTTAACTTCGTTGGTCGAAGGAATGCAAACTTCGTTGGTCGAAGAAGTGCAAACTTCGTTGGTCGAAGAAGTGCAAACTTCGTTGGTCGAAGAAGTGAAAACTTCGTTGGTCGAAGAAGTGAAAACTTCGTTGGTCGAAGAAGCAGAAGAAGTGCAAACTTTGTTGGTCGAAGAAGTGCAGACTTCGTTGGTTGAAGAAGCAGGGGCAGGAATCCAGGAGGCAGATCCATATACACTTCCTCATGTAGATCACCATGAAGGAAGGCATTGTTGACGTCGAGTTGTTCCAAGTGCCAATTCTTAATGGCAGACACTGAGAGAAGGGTTCGAATAGAAGTAAGCTTCGCAACAGGTGAGAAAGTGTCGAAATAATCCATCCCCTCCAGCTGAGTATATCCTTTTGCTACCAAATGGGCCTTGTATCGTTCGATGGATCCATCAGCATGATGCTTGATTTTGGAGACCCATTTGCAACCAATTGATTGTTTGCCTGCAGGAAAATTAACAACAGACCAAGTATTTGTAGATTCTGAAGGAAAATTGCGACCAAAAGCGCAGCGGAATTTAAAATTTTCCTTTAGCGATCCTTACGAATGAGCATGGTCAGTGATAGAATTATTTACCTCTTGTGGCGATTCAGAACTTTGATGTTGTGATCACGAGTGTTGATGAAGAACAACGCCTCTATTCAGTCCACACGAACAGATCGCTTCCGGTCACAGTGCTAGCTGATCACGAACGGAAACCTTGAGTGAGAGAGAGAGTCAAAAACGAAAATGCATCAAGTGAAATTGCTTCATCACAAGGGATCTATTTATAGAATCACTCGTGTGGGCTACAAGCTAAAAGCCCAATTAAGGCTATAAGCTAAAAGCCCAGTTAAGCTTATGGACATCATACCTTATGATGTACCATATATCACTTATCCACGTGGTACCTTACCATTTTCCGTATTACACTTAAGTGCACCGTACCTTATGGTGTTCCTTATTTATTCTATCTCTCATCAACCTATCCTTATGTGTGTGACCCTGTAGGTTTTCGCGATGTTGGCAATTATATTAAATCACACATTTAATATAATAAACAGTGAGCGGTATCTAGCAACACATCACTGTTATCCAAGTCACGAAAATGTCATGTGATCTGACCAAACCTTTTCCGTGATAATATTTGTGTTGTACAATTACCCTTTTGCCCTCATGTCTATATTGAACACAAGGCATACACTGTGTCACCCTTGTCCAGTTCAATATTGGGCCCTTAGACATTTATCCTGTTATGCAGGATGAGAAAATTCCATCTAGGTCACTCATGTCCCTTAGCATGCTTTGTGAAGTACCCATCAACCGTCTTTACAGTCATCCAGTTACGGATGACGTTTGATCAGCAATAAAGTACTTGACTCTACATCTAGGGTCCATAGTGGTTTCAGGTCGAAGGGTGGTATACACCATTATCATCATGAGAATAACTTATGACACTTTGCATAACATTCTATGTAGTATTCTCATAGCGGGTCAATCCAGTATAAATATTACTCCAAATATTCATACCTATGTCAAGACTTGATAACTCCTTATCTATGATCCATGAGATGTGATCATCAATCTATCTTCATAATAATCTTAATGCTTTAATGCTATCCCACTTCACATTAAAGCTTGACTACGGATACTTTAAGAATAGTGTCTTATGTTTAATGGGATCTCATGATTAAGTCACACTTAAAATTTCATTAAACAAATAAACCATTCTAGGGACTTTATTATTTTGGAAAGCAAACATAATAAAGAAATGCCTTTTATTATTAATAAATAATTCGATACAAGTACCAAAAGTATTGGCCTCTAGGGCTTACACCAACAGATTCAAGAGCATCTAACTCAGATTTCATAGCATTGTTCCAACAATCAAATTTGCAGGCTTGTTTATAGGTTTTTGGTTCTGTGAAAGAGCTTATGGATAGACAAAATAATTTGTGATCAGGACTACATTGGATATAAGATAATACAGAAGAGAGAGGGTAGTTAGAGGAACCTGAGTCAGATGCTGG